TGTACAGTCACACCTTCTTGCGTAACTCACCCTTTCATACCAGGGTACGTGTAACCCCATTGCACTCGCCCCCATCAAGACCGTAAATACCCACAGTTCAGATTTAACTGTCGCCTCGTACGACGCTCGCGTGTCTGCGACACTGTTACGTCTCTAGTACTATCTTCACGCATTCTCTGCTCACTAAGCTCTGTGCCTATGACACGAAAAACACTCAGCCTTGCTGGTTCCGAGGGCGCCCGTGGGCAGAGCCTTTCTTCGTCTCCTTCACGCGGTGCAACTCCGGACAGTACGCCCGCAGCTTCACGAGAAACATATTTTACGCCCTCGGCAACCGGGCACCGCACACCGCGCCCGTCACGGGCGACAAATTTCTTCGTCGAGGATTCGGAGGCGAATTCTTCTTCCCAGGATGGCAAAAAGAGAAGTGCGATGTGCGCCAACAGCGTGACGTGAGCCCTGCTCGAACCTAGCAAACACCGTTTCCCGACCTCTCGACTTCCGGGGGAAGTCGTATTACTCCCAATTGCCTCGACAAGACACAGGATCAGCAGTTGAAGGCTGCACACAGGGCAGATCTAATGCGCTCGTATCCACGTTTGGTCCTAGACCCTCGTGTAAAATACGACTTTCGCTCGCCGGATCAGTATACTGAAGCAAAGACGCGACCACTCGATCTTAAGGCGTCTACGTAGCTGGGGCCCCGGCCACTACACAAGCCAAGCTTAAACGACAAAAGCTCTCCAAGCTCGCTTCTTGGTGCCTCAAGAAATCCCAATGAATAGGTACCGCGCTCGACTTCGTGATCAAAGAGGAGGCGCTCCTGTACCCGCAATGCGGAATATTCCTGTGGTGCTCGCCTCTGGCAAAATTGCTGCAGATGATGAAGAGCCTTTGAGCGATGGGTGCAGCGGCTCTGAACACTTTCCTCGCTGTCTGCCTTACAGTTGATCCACAAGGAAGTGGACGTGCGCGTAGAGCGCCGATTCTCTTCGTATTGTCACCCTGCGACATATGGAATAATCCATCACGCTCTTGCGAGCTCTGTGTTTTCTCACACTGGTGAGTCAACAACCACAGCAGCTCAGAGCCATAGCTTGAGCTCAGCTCATGGCACTTCGGCTTCCCGAGCTACTGCTGAGAAGCGCGGGCGTTCGATGACGCGGAGCCTCGTGATACGTCGGATCATAAGCGTCTACGACGTCTGGGTAGTCTTGCCAAAATGACACCTTAAACTCCCGAGAGTTCTCGGAGTTTAGGCATCCCCGCCACTGCACACGATTCTGGATAGGCCCTGTCGATGATGTCGACCCACAAGTTACAGCGGACGCCATCGTATTAGTCGAGAAGATTTGGCGGTGGACGATGACGACTTGGTCGATCACCGTCCGGTGGCTCGCGATGCTCTTTGAGCCCTGCAGAACAAACTCCGTCGTCATCGGCATTCCGCCGAGCATCTTTCTGAGATCGCCTACCGCTGTGCGAAAGATCTCTAGAGCTTGGAACTGCATCACGTTGAGGAATATCGCGAAGCTCCTAGCCGTCGAGCCGACGAATGAGACACTTCGTGCAGTTATGGAGTGCCTGGCGCCATTGGAAACGGAGATCGTTGCACTCCGTGGACAAAACCGGTTGCTGGTTCAGCTTCTGAGCGGCCGAGCGTCTTTGGGCGCCGCCCCGGTGCCAACGTTTCTGCGCTCAATTTTGCGGATCCCGGTATGGCTTAACCACATGAAACACTCCGGTGGGTGCACATTCTTCTCGAAAGGTTTAACGTATACGTAAGGTCTCGCTTGGCCACGACCTTATAAGGTCTGATAAATGGTGGACGGTGCGTTGTCCTAAAAACAGCAGAGACTGCATGTATCGGAAGGTGTTGAGCATTTAATAAAATCAGGTCTCTGACCTCAATGTTTTCAGCATCTATTTAGCTCCTTCCGTCTGCATATTCTTTCTGCATGTCTTGACTTTCAGCCATTGCATCGCGAACGTGTCATAAGGCACTCAGTCTAGTAGACAGGAAGTCATCGAATTCCTTACAGCCAGTGAGAGGGCTGGCATGAGCTAGCCGCTCGGCTATTTCTCACCCACCAAGCCCTGAACTATGAGATGGTGGCGTCAGCGAAACGCGACGGTTAACAAGTTCGTTCACTTAGAGCGGCGTGCAGCCAATAGACGCATGTACTGCATTGTTCAGAGCAAACTCCACAAGTGGCAGCATGGTGCCCCGGTGCTTCGGCGTCTCAGCGCAGACGCTGCGAAGGACGTCCTTGACGACGCGATTCACGCGCTCAGTCTGACCATCGGTCTGCAAATGGACCACTGTTGACATATCCAGCTCGGTGCCCAGCACCTTGAAGATTGTCGACCAGAACTTCCCAGTGAAACGTGGGTCTCTGCCGTAGACAATTGACTCCGGGAGTCCATAAGACACGATCCACAAACAACATCACCGTACCCACAACGTCGATAGTGTCTAGCACTGCCCTCAGATTGACCATCTTGCTCAAACGATCCACAAGGACCATCACACCCGTGTTGCCCGCCGAGTCCTTTGGCAAGCCAAACATAAAATTCATACTCATGAACTGCCACCACGCGGTGGATACCGGTAAACTGACCAAAGACGCTGCCGCTCTCAGAGAGAATTTCATCCTTTGACACGTATCACACGTACCACATAGAAGCTAGTCCATTTGTACAGCTTGGGCCACCAGTAGTGGCAAGTCACAGAAGTGTACATCTTCTCACGACCGAAATGATCATTGAGTGGGGTGTCGTGGGTCGCATAGAGGATACGGTATTTCAAATCCTTATCATGAGGAACCACAATCCGTGGCGTATCCGTCGAATCGGTGATATGTTAAGCAACCTGTTATTCAACGAATAATGGTGTAAGCGTGCGCGTAAACGCGCCCACAATTTCTTGTCCAAGTTTCCCAACTCCTTGCTCTCGAAAGCCTGTAGCAGCGCTATACACAAACCATCTCCCGCGTATGCGGCGCGGATCAAACTTGTCAATGTCGGTGTCACCGTTGTGATATGAGCAAGCTCATAATCCGGTCTGCGTGACAACGCATCGGCCAAAGCATCCTGCTTTTCCGGCTTAAACTTCACCTCAAAGTTATATTCCGCAAAGAAGGTTAGTCATCTAGCCATCCTTCGCGAGAGGTGAGGCAACTCAGTCGCAGTGTGTAGTGACGCATGACCTGTAGATCACGAACAGCTTGGAGCCGAGCAGGTGAACCCTGAGCTTGACAAGTGCTAACTTCATCGCAAGTAATTCCTAGTCGTGAACAGGGCAGTTCTTCACTGGAGCCTTGAGTTAGCGAGATTCGAACGCGATCACCCGATCTCGCCCCTCGGCTTTTGCTTACAGTAGCGCACAGTCGATGGTAAAGGCCGAGGCGTCACAGACGACGCTGAAGAACGATCAGGGTCTGGCAATGCCAGTATTGGTGTATGAAGGATGCAGTCGTTGACCCCGTCAGAAGCCTTCCGATGCTCAGCGCCCCAACACCATTCCGCATCCTTTGTAAGGACATTTGACAGTGGTCTTGCCATTTCTGCGTCGTTCTCGCTATACTTGTGCAAGTACTTGGCGATGCAAACCACTTGCGCAAGTCCTTTTTAATTCTTTGAAACCGGCCAGTCCACAATGGCCTTGACCTTAGCAGGATCCGCTCGAAGGGCACGCTTCCCGATGAAGCACCCTAGAAAGAGAATTTCTTTGGCGCTAATGATGCCCTTGT